TTACCTGAGTCTATCACATAAAATTTGTTTGTAAGCAAACTCACAAAATTAACTCACAACACATCATGTATGTAAATATTGAATTTTCTATTTTAAAAAAAGAGCAACTTTCACCCAAAATCAGGCAAAGCAGGCAGGCAGATTGAGTTGCTCACAGAATCACAGATTCACTTAGAGATCTATCTATCTGCCATCGGCTACCTGAGTCTGCATTGAAAAATAGAAGCTTCGGTCCTAATAGAAGCTTCGGTTCAGCTCTGCTTTTAGATTAGCTAGAAAGCAAGAAATGCAACGATTTCCTACTTTCTAGCTAATCTAAATCTCCTGCACAGCAGAACAGCTGAGGGTCGAGAGGAAACAAAGGAAAAATAGCAATTTAGAAGGCAAGTTTGATAGCACGCAAGCCAGGTAAGGAGTGAGTGGGTGGGGCGGGGCCAGCCAGTGGCGCGATTTGCCAGTTCTTTGGCAGGTAGAATCCCACCCCTGGTGAGAGTGCATTTTGCGTGTGCGTGTGTGTAGACCATTTCCAAGAAAACCTCAGCTGTGCTGCCCGGACAGCTGATAAGCACTGCGCGTGGGTGCACAGCGTTTCAAACTCCTCTTCTTTCCTGCCTTTTCAACCTCAACTCAGCCGCGCAAAGCAGCTGAGGTTGAAAAATCAGGAAATAAAGGACAGGTATGAACCCAGGCAAGTGGGTGGGCTAAACAGAGCAGCAGACACCAAACCAGTTTCGTGTCTTCAGAGATACCAGTTCTATAGAACCGGGCCGAACCCATGGTTGCCACAATGGAGATGAGGGTTGGGAAGTGGGGAGTAGAGGTAGCTGGGGTTGTGTAGCCAAAACAAAATACTTTCTCCTGGGAACCAAGGACATTCTCACACCAGGTCCGAGAGGAGCGACGTTACCAGGCGACCAGATGGCACTGTGATTGGACCGTATGATTGTTTAGGGGAAGGAGAAAAACGTTTTACTTCTAATTCGGTGAAAAGGGCAGAGTCAGTTTCCACCAGAATGGTGCCAATATGATAGGTCCAATAAAACTATCCTTTGAGGAATCTACCTGCCTCGGACTTCTTGTTTGCTATGGGTTCATTATTTGGCACCCTGACATCTGCTCCGTTGTGGCTGCGAGAAAGCAGCAGAAGTGGGGCCACATGGTGCTGCCACTGCGAGACAGTGTCGGGGCGTGGATGGCCTGTCTGAGGGGGCCCTGAGGTAAACCGGTGTGGGGCGCATTGGGCAGCTCCACACCACCCCGCCGACACCGCGAGGAACCAGAGAGAATGGGTAGCTGTCCAGCCGTGCAGGCTCTTAAGTAAAGCTTATTTTGGGGGGTAGGGCTTATATTAGGCACATATGTTTAAAAAAAACATGCTAGGGCTTATTTTTGTGATAGGTCTTATTTTCAGAAAAACAGGCTACATAGGAGTAATTCAAAAAAGATTAAGATAAAAACCCAGAAAACAGGCACCCTGCAAAGCCCCCTTTAGCAGATAACAGGTAATCAGAGTTGGAAGGGACCCTGTAGGTCATCTAGTCCAACCCCCTACACCATTTCTGACAAATGGCAGTCCAGTCTTTTCTTGAAAGTCTCAAGCGGTGGCGCTCCCACAACTTCCGAGGGCAAGCCATTTTTTTTTTGGTTAGGCCAAAAATTTTTGTTAGTAGGCAAGACACTTTTAAGTGAGTTTTTGCCCCGTTTTACGACCTTTCTGGCCATGGTTGTTAAGTGGATCGCTGCAGTTGTTAAGTTTGTCACACGGTTGTGAAGTGAATGTGGCATCTGCCATGGACTTCGCTTGTCGGAAGGTCGCAAAAGGGGTTCGTGGGAACCCCCAAGGACACGGCAACCGCCACAAGTATGAGTCGGTTGCCAAGCGCCTGAATTTTGATCACGTGACCACGGGGACACTGCGATGGTCGTAAGTGTGAAAAGCAGCCGCCAGTTGCTTTTTTTCAGTGCCGCTGTAATGGTTGAACGGCCACTAAACGAATGGCTGTAAGTCAAGGCCTAGCTGTAGAAGTTCACCATATTTCTAAAACCCGAGAGAGAGAAATGCACAGCAAATCCCCCACAAGGAAGGAATTCCAGACTAAGGGAATAGTGATTTTTAATGCCGGCTTCCCCCGCATTACAGGTAGGCCTCGACTTATGACAGTTCGTTTCGTGACCAAAGTTACCACAGCACTGAAAAAAAGGGACCAATGAACATTTTATGACACGATCATCACACAGTCCAGTGATCAAAATTCAGGCCCTTGGCAGCTGGCTCCTATTTATGACGGTCGCAGGGTCTCACGTGATCCCCTTTTGTGACCAGCACAGTCAATGGGAAGGCCAGATTCACTTAACGACCGTGCTACTAACGTAACAACTGCAGTGATTCACTTAACAACGGTGGCAAGAAAGGTCATAAGATGGGGCAAAACTTGCTGAATTTCTCACTCAGCAACAGAAATTTGGGGCTTGATTGTGGTCATAAGCCGAACTCTACCTGTATTCAGACTAGACCTGGAGGGACAGGACCTATTCAACCTGACTGGACAGGCAGATGTGACGGGGAGGGGGGGATCTTACCTTGATGAATTAATGAGAGAAAACAAGTTATTCATCTGGAGCTATATAGAACCTTAAAAGTCTAAAAGGTAAATGTAAAGGGTCCCCTCACACATCTGTGCTAGTCGTTTCCGGCTCTAGGGGGCGCTGCTGCTCATCTCTGTTACAAAGCCGAACAGCCACTGCTGTCCGAAGACGTCTCCATGGTCATGTGGTCGGCATGACTAAACGCCTTCAAAGGCGCACGGAACGCTCTTCCCTTCCCACCAAAGATGGTCCCTATTTTCCTACTTGCATTTTTTACGTGCTTTTGAACTGCTAGGTTGGCAGAAGCTGGGACAAGTAACGGGAGCTCACTCCATTATGAGGCGCTAGGGATTCGAACCGCCGAACTGCCGACCTTTCTGATCGACAAGCTCAGTGTCTCAGCCGCTGAGCCACCGCATCCCTTTTTATTAAAAATTTCTATATTAAAAGTCTAAGTGGGACCATAAATCAGCCCCAAATCTCTCCTTTCCCGCCACCACCATCACCCAGTGGCCACCCACTCAGGAAGGAGACCCACAATCCTCCCAATCCTGTGGAGGCGCTCCAGAAAGAGACCGTGGTTAGTGGGGTTAAAAGACAGTGAGAAATCAAGGAAGACCAAGATGGTTGAACTTCATCCCTGAACCTGATGCTCCCAAGGCAGATTCTGGCCTGACATCTAACGGACAAGAGTTCCACTCGTCGGTTTACTCTAGGACAGGGGTGTCCGACTTTGGCAATTTTAAGACGTATGGACTTCAACTCTCAGAATTCCTCAGCCGACATGGCTGGCTGAAGAAATCTGGGAGTTGAAGTCCACACATCTTAAAAGTTGCCAAGGTTGGAGACCTCTGCTCTAGGACTCACTCGTTCAGTGGAAGGGGTTGCTGTCAGAAGTTGTGAGTGATTTATCACTGCAGGTCTTTAAGATGATGCTGGACAACCATTTGTCTGAAGTGGTATAGGATAGGGCCGTGATGACGAAACCTATGGCACGTGTGTCACAGGTGGCACGCAGAGCAATTGGTGCCGGCACGTGAGCTCCAGGCAAACTTACCTCACTGCTCATGCGCGTGCCTCACAGCTGATTTTCGGCCGGTTTGAGACCCTTTTCGGCCTCCCAAAGGCTTAAGGAAGGCTTCTGCAGGCTTGAAACTAGCCCCATTTCATCACTTCCTGTTTTTCCGAAAGTACCGGAAGTGACGAAACGGGCCTCGTTTTCGGTCTGCAAAGCCTGCAGAAGCCTTCCTCAAGCTTTTGGGAAGCCAAGAAAGGCCTCAAACTGGCCAAAAAACAGCTGTGAGATGCAGCGCAGGTAAGGAGGGGGCGGGGGGGGGGGGGGGGGGATTACGTGGGCATGCGTAGGCAGCATGGAAGGGGCACGCATTGTCTTCTCGGTGCTGGCACGCGAGTCCGAGCGTGCAAGCGTGCGCACAGTTTTTGGCACAGGAGCCCCCAAAAGGTTAGCCACCGCTGGGATAGGGTCTCTTGCTTGAGCAGGGGGCTGGAATGGATGACCTCCAAGATCCCTCCCAGCTTTATTCTGATTGATCGATCGATCTTTGCAAGTTTAGGGCTGCCATTTTCTCCACAAGATTTCCCAGGAAACAAAGGCAAGTTGGAGATAGCTCTAGTGTTGATCCAAAACAGCTGGATGAAGGGAAGGTTTCTTCAGCAGAAAATACCCCATGGCGTTCTTGGGAGGTGGCCGACACACCCCTTGCTCAAAGACGCAAGACCCATAGATTCTGGTCTTTCTTCACTGCCGCTACAGGTAGTCCTCAACTTACGACCACAACTGAGCCCAACATTTCTGCTGCTAAGTGAGACATTTTGAGTTTTGTCCCATTTTATGACCTGTCTTGCCACAGTTGTTAAGGGAATCACTGCAGCTGTTTAGTGAGTCACGGGTTTGTTAAGCGAATCTGGCTTCCCCGTTAGCTTGTCGGAAGGTCACAAAAGGGGGATCACCTGATCTCGTGACACTGCAACCGTCGTAAATATGAGTTGGTTGCCAAGCGTCTGAATTTTGATCACATGATCATGAGGATGCTGCAATGGTCGTAAGGGTGAAAAATGGTCACAAGTTTCCCCCCTCCCCTTTTTTTAGCACCGTTGTAACTTTGAACAGTCACTAAATGAATTGTTGTAAGTTGAGGACTACCTGTATAGGAGAATATTTGTAGCTCGGGGTTGAAATGAGGGGTTCTTGGTGCTCTCTGAGCTTGGTTGTTTGCTTGCAGACGTTTCATGACCCAACTAGGTAACATAGTCAGGGCTAGAAGGGAAGGGGGTTTGCAGAGAGGAAGAGGAAGAGGAGGAAGAGGAGGAGGAGGTGATGGAGGCGGAGGATTGTAGGTTCCATGATGCTCTCTGAGCTTGGTTGTTTCCTT